ATTGATGACAGAGTTTTCCTGGCTTCCTACTTGCACAATGAGCCTTCCATCATTATTTAAGAGCAAGACAGCGTTGCTCGGGACAACAGGACTGTTCCTGTTTGCTGTCCACACTGCTGTCTTGTTAGGCATACTGACGATTGAGATTCCAACAGCGTAGCCATTGTTTTGTTCATAAAATCCAAAGGCAAAGCGCCTGGTTGGTGAAAACCATGATGAATTGGCAGTAGGTGTTAGAGAAGAGCCAAGAGTTATATTAAACTGCCTTTGTTGTGCTAGTGTTACTGCATGAATTGCAGATAAGATTAATAACCATAGCAAAACAGCCATAGATTTATTTTTTTTCTTTGTTTTTTTTTCTGATTTATCACAAAATGGTGATGCTAATATGTTATAAATTCAGTTTATTATAACATCCAAAAACTTTAGCTACTGTAGGACAAGTCAATTTACGCCAATGAAGTAAAAGACGCGTTACATAGAAGACTTGGAAATTATTGAGTCAAGCAATTATGTTGTTAAAAATTGACAGCTTCCACTAACTTTCAAGTTTCCCATTATAAATGGTGTAGTCCGTCTAGAGTAAATTTAGGTTCGGGAAAAGAGCTAGAGTGTCAACTACGTCACTACTAATAAATCACTATATTTCCATTGAAATGTTCAGTGATTAAGAAATCATGTTCTATAGCACAGATTTTCTACTTATTGAAGGTGGGAAAAACCTTTATTTCTAGTAGTGCGTATTTGATTGAATTCTGCAGCTTATGTTAAAACTTTATATTTTTAGTAAAAATTCATTGAATGTATAGATTATTAATTTCGAACTCAATAACTTAAAAAATGTTAGAATTTAAAACTCGTTAACTTCAAATCTTAGCTTTGGCTTTCCTTAATATTGTTCCAACTATAAACGGAATGTAGAGCATTATAATTCTATGATAAAACCGATGAAAATTTTTTTAAATCGAATTTGGTATTGATGGAAAGAGAAAATATGGTTCAAAGTTAAATTTGCAAGGTAAAAAAAAAGTACTATATGAACTTAACCGTAAACAGAAGGTATAACCAACGAAAGTTGGAGTGGAGCATTAAGTACTCCTTCATTTTAATCAATCTCGTGTATATGGAGGTGCCTTTGGTTAAGATATGGAGAAAATGAAATTATTTGAATTGACATAAACCACAAACCACTAAGCAAGTATATAGCGAGAGAAAAAGAAAAGAGATTCACTACTATTCACTGACAGTAGTCAGTAGACAAGAAAATTCCACTATCAACTCATTCTTAGAAATATTTATTTCTTTTAATATATTCATGTAGTGTTTGTCCTCCCAAACTCTCATTTCTAAATAGGAGTAGTAAAGTAACTAGTTATTTAGCAAATAGCCCATTTATGCACCTGTCATGTTAGGGACCTTTATGTCCCACGCGTTCCCTTTAAATATGAGTAGTAACTTTTTCCCTTATATATAACTAATTTCTTAAACTTATCATGATATTTTATTTAGACAATTGAATTAAAACTTATTTCAATTAAATATATCTCAATTACTAATAAACTATTTTAGTTAGATACTTTCAAATTAAATTTTAGAAAACCTTTTTTCAAGTCAAATTTTGTACATTTTTTTATGTTAGGACTATATTTTTATTTATCTATTAAATAGTTAAATTAACTATATAAAATATATATCATTTACTCTCATTATACCATTTGCCTCAAGAAGATGTAAATTTTCACACATTTTTATTAAAGCTAATTTATATAATTAAAAGAAAAAATAAACTTTACGTGATTAATTTAACTATATAATTGACAAATAAGAATCCGCATCAATCTTTATTAGAAATTAAGATGTATAATTGAACATAAATTAATTTAAATATCTAAATACAATATTCTAATAAATTGAGGAAACTAACTACGTTAAGTCTTAGTTTTTCAACTTTTTTTTTATTCGACACATTTACAACCTACTCATATCCAATCCATTAATCGTATACGATAATTGATGATAGGTACAAGTTTGTTTTTTTTTTTAATAACAGCAGCTATCAGTGTTGGCAGTGACTTCTGCCCCACGTGTACTACTCCTTCCCACTCTTCATAACCTCTTTTTGCCATATGTCAATTTTCTTATAATTATACATTTCCCCTCTTTCTCTCTAATATGATTTCTCCTCTTTCTCTCTAATACAATTTCACCTAGAGTTTCAGATTTCCTCTCATGGACGCCATTCCATGAGAGGAAATCTGAAACCCTAGGTGAAATCGTATTAGAGAGAAAGAGGAGAAAACGTATTAGAGAGAAAGAGGGAAAATGTATTTTAGAGAAATGAGAGTGGGTCAAATTGTATGTCCCAAAAGAAATGAGGGCAAAATTAATACTTAGGATGTATGGGTCTATGTGGAGGTGAGAGTTGTTTGGTGCTTATGTGGCATCGACGTGGCATCCATGTGGCATTCACGTGGCGTCCACATGGCACTTAACACACCTCTGCTAATAGTAAGGGTATTTGTGACCCAATACTTTAACGGAAGGGTATTTTTGAGCCAGAATATAGTTTAAGGGTATATGTGAGCTATTTCCGAAAGTTCAAGGGTATTTTTGAGCCTTTTCCGATATTTAAATTAAAATAACAAAAAGCGTATTATATGGTAACTTGGACTCTAAATTAATTATAAGAGTTTGTTTACAATTCTTATTTGGCTTACCAAAAATAAGAAGATTCTTTCACACAATTTGTTCCTCATTATTTCATTCTTGGTTCTTTGTCAACACCATTAAAACAATTTGAAACAATTATCAGTGTGATAACTTCTTACTCATTTTTTTAGAATCTAAATAATTAAAGACAATTTAGATAATTAAGACAATTCTGACAACTTTTTACTCATTCTTTTTTCAGAATCTAGATAATTAATCTCATAAGAAAACTATTCACAACTTATTAAGTCTTCTTCGCAACATGAAAAAGTGTATGGATAGGTATTTCATTGCTTCAGTGTTTACTCTTCTTAGTTTATTCAATCAACAACACAAATTAATTGAAAATAAATTTTAATACATATACCACCATATGTACTCAAACCTAAATAGTACTCAAAGTCGATCATACCAAAAATATTTAAACTTTATTTTCAAAGAATTAAATCTTAGATATGTAAAACATGTTTTTTTTTAAAAAAAAAAAAAGGAAGATGAAAAATCATTAAATGTGAAAATATAATAATTAAATTAACAGAAATAAGTATTTTTTAAAATGACCTAGTCTTCCAATTTTGGTGGAACAGAAAGAAATAATTTTCAAAATAAGTTGATTTTGAATCATGCATGTCCTAAAATTTCCTTTCTGTTCCATCAAAGTTGGAAGACTTGGTCATTTGATAACAAATCATATCTTATAATAAATAATTATTTATTAAGTTAATTTATCAGATGATCACTTTTTGTCGTAACCAAATAGGAAAACAAACTCTGCTACTATAATGGACAAAACTTCAGCAGAGTTACCAACAGAAATCCTTCATCAAATACTCTCTCTTCTCCCAACTAAAACTGCTGCTCGAACTGCATTGTTGTCCAAATCATGGCTTAAAGCATGCTCTACGAAACCCCATCTCTGTTTCGATATATCTGATCCCGTAGAATATCGAGCTCATGAATTCCTGAGAATTGTAGATAATACTTTGGAAAGGTATCACCGCGATAATAATCTACCTATTTCATCTTTTGAGCTTTGCATCTCCTTTTATGATCACATTTATTGTGATGGTCTAGTTGATAAATGGTTAGATATTATAACAGATAAAAGAGCTTCAAAGATTTCACTTTTTGTGAAAAGCAAAGCTAAAGAATATTGTGAAAGATATAATTTGTTTGTTCATAACATATTTAAGATGAAATTCATACAACATTTGGAGTTAAATCATTGCCAAATATTACTGGCGAAACAAAATGCACTCTTTTATGATGATAAAATTAAGTGTGATAACCTGAAAAACATAACCTTGTGTTATGTTACTATTTCTCAATTAACACTTCAAAGCCTGATTTCATGTTACCCTCAGATTGAGAAGGTATCAATACAATACTGTATCGGGTTCAATAGCATTCGTGTTTCAAAAACTCTTCCTAAACTTTTGTGATTTAGTATCTTTTACTGCCCAATTGTGGAAGTTGAAATTGTTGATGCACCAAAACTGCTATCTTTCGAATATGTGAACAAAGGTGATTCCGCGCCTTATTTATCTAGTGATAATCTTCACATATGTTTGCGAACAATAGAGATTGGTACTTGTCAAAATCTCAAAAGGGTAGAATTTGTGAAGGTCACAGTTGAGTATTGGGATCTCTTCAAGATTATACAAAAATTACACTCTGTGAAAGAGTTGATTTTACACTACTGTAGGTACTTGAGAAAAATAAAAATCTCAAGTTCAACCCTCGAGGTTTGTAGCATAGTTCAGTGTGATTTAGTAGAAGAAGCCATTTTTGATACGCCCAAATTACTCTCCTTAGCCTTCTCCGATCAAGATAGACTACCTTCTTTATCTTTTGAAAGGGCTCCGAGCCAATGCAGAGTTTCCATAAGGATTGACATTTTATGGGACGTTCAGCACCTCATGAACTTACGGAGATTTCTAGTTGAGTTGGGTGATCAAGTTGTAGATTTGACGTTGTCTACATTCTCTAAAAGTTTGATCATACCAAGAGGAATTTATCATCTTCCCACACTTGAAGTTGAGCATTTGGAATTATCTTATAGTGATATTACAACCGCGACATATTCATCTTATAACTATGATGTCATCTTCGCAATTTGTTTGCCCAAGATTTTAACGTTACAGTGTGACAAGAAACTAAGAAAGTTTCTACGTCAACAATGGTTGAAGAAGAGAGAAAACAGATTTATCAAATGTACTTGGAAAAAGTATCTCATAAATGCTGAGATAGAGTACAAGAAAAGGAACGGAGAGGATTGGATGACCCTTGATAGGAAGATATTGGTAGCTGATCCGCATATTATTGAAGAGATCTATACAATCCGCTTCAAGCAAATTCAAAGAAATGAAAAAAATAAGTATTCGTATATTCCAAGGTACGTAACAATTTGTTATGCACAATGTATGGATTATGATATCAATACTTTTCATCTCTTTCCATTTCCAAACAATTAACTTCGCTTGTTATTTCTGCAGATGTATTCCGAGATGGATAGTTCATTGATTGGAGTGATCGCGATATGTGATAGCTCGTTCTTCTTGGCTTCTATTTACATAGTCTGCAATACCAAACAGCGTAATGCAAATCTTTGCTCGGATTTGAATTGAATTAGGAAATGTTGTTTGATTGAATTAGGATTTGAATTTT